CCACAGGCTGATTGCCTCCATGCCACGCCGCATTGAAGCAGTCATTCATGCAAAAGGATTCCTGACCAAGTATTGAGTGCATAACTGAACATGATTATTTGAAGGTTGGCGTTTTTTGTATTAAAAACACTTGTCTTTCATTGGTGGGATGAAATATGCTAATTTTTTGGGACAGGCATTTTGGGTTTTCATGAGCTGTATGCCATAATCATCAGTATTAAAACAATTAAAGACCTGAAATATTTCAGTTGGTGTGCAATGAATCTGAAATATATGAAAATTTCCTTTTTATCATTACATTATGGAAAATAATGACGTTTATCACAATATGCTAATTTTTGAGAAGGACCTGTATATGTAAACCAGCCACCCCTATAATTTGAGGAAACTATGTTTTTTAGTTCTTAAGTAGTTTAAGACTATAGTTTCTTCAAATGATTCTCCAGGTATTTGAGGAAATGATGAGTGATGAATCTGTGGTGGCCACCCTCTTGTTCCACCTGGTGGTGGATAAATTGCTCCCTCTACTCACAAGGACCCCATCATTCTGCGCTGCCTCAGATAGGCAAAAAAAAGCTATACTTATACACAGTGCAGCTCATATCCACTTGAATATCTTGCACAAAAAACATTAAGGTTTACTTGCATTCCCTGTTCAAATCCAGTCCAAAGAAAAACACATCTTGAAAACTAGAAACATTCACTATTCAAATGCCTCACTGACAGGGGACATTGGCATACCACCTTATTTATTTTGTATTAAAACATACATCACAGACATGCCACAACATTTTAGTTTTTTCAAAACTCCATCCTTCTGGCATTAAGAAACAAAACAGTATAATTGTTGTAATCAATCACTGTTACCTTTTTAAATCAAGATGAACAGCCATGGAATCATGAGACAAAAAGACCTGTGGCATCAGTACTTTGTTGCACCACCTCTGGCTTTAACAACAGCTTGAATTCTCTGAGGCATGAAACTAACTAATGACAACAGTACTCTTCATCAGTCTGCCTCAAATGTCTCAGTGCTGTTCTCAGATCAGCTCTGCAGGTTAGAGCCGTGTCATCTGTCATTTTCTTCCATTTCCACCAGAGATTTTCAACCGAAATGAGATCAGGACTGTTTGCAGGCCATGCCGTTGATAATAGTAATAATAATAATAATAATAATAATGTGTTATATATTGTTCCCATACAATGGCAAAATTAGCTCTCTGCATTTAACCCATCCACCTCCAGGTGGTGTGATGGGCAGCTATTGAAGGCGCCCGAGGAGCAATTGAAGATAGGGTGTGCTGCTCAAAGACACCACGGGATGTGCAATGATTGGGGATCGAACCTGGGACTTTCAGGTCCCGAGTCAGCTGCCCTGCCTCTACCCCATCTCGGTCTCCAATTTAAGGAAAGTTTCATGTCCTTTGCCCAACAGTAAGATGCATTATCATATTGAAAAAATATATCATCACCAAACATCTTTTCAACTGATGGAATAATAAAAGTGTCCAAAAATACAACACAGACGTTGGTATTTATTAAATATACTGACTGCCATCTCCCACGTGTCTCTACCTGATGGGACACTTTTACCTAGTCACCCACGGTCTGTGAATTCTTCTTATTTCCACCCACTAGTTTCTCATTTGCTTTATGCTGGTGAAGATTCTCAGTCATCCAGGACATGATGAATTCAAAAAACGTTCAATACAAAAACAACTGGACTTTATTTGTAACAGAAGACGTTTCGCTCCCTTCATATCAACACTTGCTCTTGTCAAGGGCTGACGCCTTTCTCTTCCTCTCCGTCTCCGCTTGGCTTAGCTCTGTCCTGTCTGTGAAACTGCTTTAGAGCCTCCCTTCTACAAATCTTCCGAATCATAACTATGGACTTGGATTTGATCAGTTGGTCCCTCAACACAATTGATAACATTTCTTTGAAGAGAAGACAGGCTTTAGGCGAGCTGATTTGCCCTGTTGGCACGCATGCAGCTGGATATCTCATCGGCTTGGAAGACTTGATGATGTGTCTATCTTTGCTGTCATTCGTGGGATGTTAAGGACTCGTATATAATTGGATTTATGACAACTGGTTTCCTGCTTTTTGGATTCGGCTGGTTCCTGGTTTTCCAACAAACAAGGAAGTCATTGGCCGCAAATTTGGACCTGGTTCAGCTGCCTGCCTTATATGGTGGCTCAGTTCGTGCCTCGAGCACCCAGACTCAAATGTTTTTCCCCCCTTGTGGAATGTCGGCGTCATTATGTGCTTGTTGTGCAATGTTTTATTTTCATTATCATGCTGTTAATCTTCAGCCAAAGATTAAGAGCATGTTAGAATTTTTTTTTTTGTCTCCAAACCCTATGTGTTATTTTCACCACTTTTTATTGTCTGTCCAAACAGATATCACTTGTAAATGAGTCTTCGAGGCTCAATGTGTTTAAATTAATGTTGAATGAAAAAAAAAAACTTCCCATTTTGTTTGTAAGTGGTCCAGATTTTAGACACAGCTGACTGGGAACAACCAACATGTTTTAAACATTTTGTGATGATTAAACTTTGAAGAAGCTTCATGATCTTCTTTGTTTCACCTGACGTCATGTTGGATCAATGATTCTTGTCAGTAAAGTTTGTGCAACAGCTCTTAAAGGTGACTGTTTTTTAACTGAAGGCTAGTTAGCAGATTTAATCTGATGTAGGTATTTTTTTCATTCATTCAACTTTTATTTATACAGGTTATGTGTTTTATCACATTGAGCCGCAAAGACTCATTTACAAGAGCAACGTGTTTTAAACAAAGAACAAAGATGAGGTACAGACAACACTAGACAATCATAAAAAAAGCATATAAAATGAAAAGTAAATAGAAATTATATTAAAAAAGAAACAAAAACATCTACATTTTAAAGCAATGTAAAATACTAAAAACAGGAAGTTCAAGTAGGTTTATTGTCATTTCAGCACATGTGGTACATGAGGTAGAACAAAATTGTGTACACGGGGTCCCAGTTACATCCAACAATAGCAAATTATAAAGTTTAAAAAGAAACAGTAAACAAGGATCTAAGATATACTCTAAGATAAACGCTAAACGAACGCCAAATGTTACGCTAAAAGATCTAAGATATACGCTAAATAATGTAAAACAATATGGTGTAACAACAGCAGCACGAACATGAGTCTGTGAGCAGATGAAAAGTAATATGAAAAAGGACGTTAAAAAGTTAAAAGAACATGTCTGCATTGATTTTTGTAATTCACCATTTGAGAGAGTCGTTTTTTTCCCTCTACTTGATCAAAAAAGTTGAAGACAATTTAGTCAGGATCTATATTTTTTTACTGGTTTTGTGTGTTCCCAGTCCAATCCTATTCTGTTCTTGCCCTTCCTCAACAGTCTACTCTTGTGACTCCATACCCTGTCCGGTTCTCCCCTTTATGTGTTGTTGTTGTTTTTTTGCTGTTGTTTTGCTGCCTCGCCAAACTTGGCTTCAAATTGTGATAGTGTTGGTCAAACTTTGTTAATGAACCCAACAGCAAGTGTTCAGAATGACAGTCAGCTACTCCCAGGGTTTAATTTGTAAACCAATCAATGCTGGAAAGTGAAGAGCGGGCGGAGCCATGGGGGAGGGGGGGTGGCATCTGGAGGGGGTCCTTCCCCAGAAATTTTTGAATAAAGTAGATGTGATTTCCTGCATTTTGGTATATTTGAAGGGGTTGTTTAAAAATCTATGTTTACCTACATTTATAAGCGTTCCGCTTCTGTCAAGCATCCTACACCCACTCCCACTTGATGGTTCAGAGCCGACCACTGTCCAACGCCACATGTGAAACATCCAGGCGCCTCCTCCATAGCTGCCTGTGAGCTCCTACCCGCGTACGACTGCCTGGTTTGCTCGCCAGTCACCCCCACCACTCTTTTAGGGGCAGAGGTTTTTGTAAGGGTAGATGTGGAAATGCTACTTGAAGAGGCAGCTCGTATGTGATGTTAAGAAGCTCGGCTGTTGTGTTTAAAATGAGTGTTTATGTAATTATTTTCAGATTACATATCCAATATAAGTTTCATTCATTCAAGACAGTCATATTTGTTCATAACTTTATTATTAGTAAGCCTGAGAGTTGCTGGATCCAAACAAACAGTTCCCAGAACGCACCCTGTCAAAATAAGAGCGTTCCCGGATCCTGTTCCGTCAGGATCCGGCTTAAATTAAGCCCCGGCTACCACCACATAAAGTTTTAGCTCAGTATCTGTAAAACTGCATAATAGCCACCTGAAAAAAGATTTAGCTATGGTGGCCATCTTGAACTGGCTTGTCTCCCAGGTGCGGCGGTACTGCCAGTGATTACTTTCTGAACAATTTATTAAAACCCGTCCATTGGTTCATGGAGTCCAACAGTTCATGTTAAAGTCTAAAGCAAAACTGTTGATGTACTAGTATTGTAGTACTTGGGGTCTAGTACCCCAGTGTACTTAAATTACTCTCAGCTACAACACCCAATTTTGGTGCAATAACTTAAAAAATGACGTAACTACATCCGTTTCGTGTTTTATGAGATGAGTCGGCTTTGGCAGCCATTTTGACTAAATAAAATAGATTTCTGGAAGTTTCATTAAATCCATCCAGTGGTTCATGAGATATTTTGCTAACAGACAGAGCTGACTCCATTAGGTAACGCTAAAGTTTACAAAAAGGTCATTTGTGTGAATTATAAACATGTTTCTGATGCCTAATGTTGATTAGCTTGTTTTCATCTGTACCACGATACATGATATTTTGCTAACAGACAAACATTTGAACAAACATTATTATGCTGATGGGGTAAAACCAGTATTGTCCACCTTTGCCTTACAACGGCAGGCAGCAAACCAGTTCTGTTTTGTTTTGTTTGGTTTTACGTGGCATTAAAAGGTCAGATTATTTAGTGAAAACATTTTTTTTACTTTTCATTTTGTTCTTTGTAAAAAAACTTTTTATTTTGACTTTCCTGTAACTTGGTGTTTCAGAAGCATGAGCTGCAGGCCCAGCAGCACTTCCAGCAGCAGCTCAGACGGCGGCGAGAGGAAGAGGAGCTTCATCGTCAGGCCGAGCTTCAGGCTGAAGCTCGGCAGGAGAGCGACTGTCACAGGACTGACGCTCAGCACCAGCACCACCACGACAAAACACCGGGCAGCAAGCCCAAGAGGCCCAGCTCTCTGCTGGGGAACAACAACGTAATGAAGCTGAAACAGATCATTCCTCTCCAGGGGAAGTTCTCCTCCAGTTCCTCACGCTCACCAGCCCAGTCCCCAACTGGAGGCGAAGCAAAGCTCCCTGGGTTTCTGAAGTTCCTAAAGTCACCCGAGGTGAAAAAAGAGCCAGCAGTGGCATCTGGAGCCACATCTGGCTCCACAGTCACGTCTTCAGCGCCACCTGGTGGACAGGAGAGGTCACAGTCCCCAAACAGGTCCTTCAGTCCAGGGAAGCTGTTCGGTTTTAGCAAGTCCGAGGGTACGGTGGTGTGTGCTAACGGGGTGCAGCCTCCGGGCCCGGCTGCTCACACTCAACCCAGCAGGGCCGAGTCAAACACAAGCCCAGAGGAGTTACCCTCCAACGAGTCTGACAAAGGAGAACCAAGACCACAAACTGATGCAGAAAACTCAAAGACATAATATTTCAAAGGTTTCACATTTCTTTAATATATTGCCCGCCGCCTTTCATGACAGAATTTTATATGAAAATCATCTTATGATGCGAAGGGCCGGGGGTACACCTGCTGAGGTCAAACCTCATAAATAATATGATGAGCGGTCTCGTGTGGCATCGTGAGATCTCACCACATCTGTTTGGGCTTGGAGTAACTGTTGGGTATGATGCTGTGATTACTGCAACCAGTTTAACTCAGCGACTAAAATAAAATACGACGAGCGCCTCGCCAAGGGAGCTGATCTAGGGGACGCACTGAAAGGTGTCCAGTTGTACATGTACACCCAGTCGTTCCTTTCTGAGAGCTTTCAGTGTCTCCTCTGGTTTACGTGCCTTGGCAGGGTGCTCATATCTTTCTCGACGAGGGATGACTCTCAGCTACTACCACATAAGATTTTGGTTCTTTATACCTAAGTTATGGTAATATTTGGTGGCGACCATCCTTTATTGAGTTGACTCCAAAGGTAATCGGTTGTACATCATCCAAAGGTTACTTTTAGAAAGTTTTATTTAGTGCCCCGTGGTTCATGAGATATTTTGCTAACAGTACAGACAAACCCACGGGCGATAACAATCAGTCAAATTGATGTAAGTAGAAATGGAGAGAAAGGTTTCCATGTTCAAGCATCATGTAGAAGCACTGTGACCACAAAGATCACATCAGTGAGTGTTTCACTGTCCGTGCAGCTTCCCTCACAACGTGTCCAACAGTGACAATCGTCTAACTTCCAGCTAAACACTGTCCGGTGCGTGTGACCGGGCCTCGCCAGCCTTCGTTGAACGTCGTTACACTGCATGGCAGTCGGGTTTTCAGCAGCTGAAGCTGAATGTTCATGTGACGATGCGGTCACTGAAAATCTGAAACCAGGTCTAAGGAGATAAACCGCATCTTCCTGCTTTATGTTTGTCCTTCATTTTTCTCCCGTGTTGGACGCATGTCGTCATGTGCATGCATTCACTGGTTCTTTTCAGTCCCAAAGGACTTTCAAAGCCATTGGATTCTTCTCCTGGTCCGTGCACGTTCTGCTAATTGGATTTTCTTTTCACACAGCACAACTGAAAAACAAAAAGTGCGTTTTAAATTTTTGTTTTAAATGATAAAGAATTCATACGAGTCGTTTATTAACATGAATGTGTAGATTTATTTTCCTTCTCATATTTAGAATATTAAAACAATTAAATTAGTGGCAAACAACAACCAGTCCACCCATTATCTTCCAGTTGTTCTGGAGTTGGGTCGTGGGGGCAGCAGCTTGAGCAGGGAGGTCCAGACATCTTCCACAGCCTCCTCTTCCAGCTCTTCTGGGAGGACTCCAAGGTGTTCCCAGGCCAACTGAGAGACGTAGTCTCTCCAGTGTGTCCTGATCTTCTCCAGGGTCTCCTCCCAGTCAGATATGCCAGGAAAACCTCCCTAAGGAGGCGTCTAGGGGTCATCAATACCAGATGCCCGAAACCACCTCAACTGGCTCCTCGCGATGAGGAGGAGCAGCTCTACTCTGAGTCTGTGGCTATGATGAAGACATGGAGCAAACATCTTTTACCCCAAACGAAAAGAATCTGAGGGGAGACTACATGACTGCAGAAGGAGCTGACCTCACCACGGGACCACCACAAGTTGGCTTATGATGCTAGCTTCAGGTCCAGCTGTGAGCTAAAGGGCTATTTCACAGAACATCTGGACAACCTTCAATGGACGCTGATCCAAAGTCTAAAATACTTTTACTTAACAAACCTGCTGTCATGGAAAAATACTCATTCACAAACTATCTGTTGTAGGTTTCTATCAAATTGTATATAGCTTTGTGTAGGAGCGGTCAGAATACAGAAACTCCTAACTCTCGCTCTGCCTCGGTTCCTATCTGGTTCTGAGCCTCCTGAGACAAACAAGACAACCAGTCACTCTCTCACTCTCACATAGAGACAATTCAGAGTTAGCAATCAGTCTAACATGCATGTTTTTGTTCTGTGGGAGGAAACCAGAGTACCCGGAGAAAACCCACACATGCACGGAGAGAACATGCAAACTCCACCCAGAAAGGTTCCCAGCCAGGATTTGAACCAGGGCGACCTGCTAGCTGAGGGGCAGCAGCTCTACCAACTGAGCCACCGTGCTGCTTAATAAAATATATATTTATAAATCACATATTTTGTTTCCACAAGTCTGTATTCAGGGTAGAATAATTTAGAGCAGGTCTGACAAGTTAACGTTTCAGATTTTGTATCAAACCTAAGATGGTTCTATCTTTGTCCAAGTACCGGGTCAGAGTCTTCTGCAGTCCTGTCGTCTCTGAGACACTTGGAGAAGGTGCTGTTTATAGGACTGAGTTTTGTGGCTTGGCCTCAAACTGACCAAGTCTTTCAGATGAAAGACGAAACGTTTCAACAAGAATTCGTCCAGAGGACCTGACTGAACTTTGTTGGAGTTACTCCTTGTTTTAGAAAACATCCATCACTCCTCCAGTAATCACAGCTGACATTTGTCTCTGAACACAACCTGAACTTCTTTTATGCTGAAGGTCATTTGGTTTTTTAACAGATCTTTGTCGCACTCTCCTGACAACTTCAGCGCTCAAAGGACAAGAAAATGAGTCAGTAAGTGTGAATGCTGAGGTTTAACGGGTTTAACTTCAACAGGTTTTAGCTTCAGCAGGTTTTAGCATTGACAGGTTTTAGCTTCGACTGGTTTTAGCATTGACAGGTTTTAGCTTCAGCAGGTTTTAGCATTGACAGGTTTTAGCTTCGACTGGTTTTAGCATTGACAGGTTTTAGCTTCGACTGGTTTTAGCTTCAGCAGGTTTTAGCTTCGACTGGTTTTAGCAGGTGTTCAGCTTTCAGTATTGGCTGTACTTTCATAGAAAATGCAATTTCTCCAAATAGTTCTTGTTTGCCAGTGATATTTTTAAATTATTCTAAAAATGAAAAGCAAAGCAAACAATATTTAAAGATAATTTTTAACCAAAATTCATGTAATTGTTTATTTTTCAATGTTCCCTTGTGATAAAGTAAATCCAATTACTAAACTGACCGTGCAATAGGTCCTTCCACAACCTGTCAGATATTTTCGCTGTGACCATGAAATATATTCTATTTTTCCTAACTTTGTTTTTCTATAAATTATTTTACTACATTAATTAGTGAATGTAACTCTACTAAGCAAATAAATGTCATTCCAACCAGGATCCATTTGGGAGTTTCTGCACAGGAGGAGTCTTGTCGCGTGGGGATCTGAGGTTAACGTTCACCCTCTTGTAATTTTAGGATTTATACAGCAGGTCAAAATAAAAGTGACCGGCTTCTAAAATTTTTCTGTTCTAACTTGAAGAGAACAGAAACACATCCACCAAATGACTAAACTCGAAGCTAACTGAAAACTGAGTCCACTGCCACATTCATGTTTATAGATACACTTTAAGCAGCAATAACTTGAAATAATTATTTATACATTTATTTTATCAGTATCTCACATGCTTATAGAGGAATTATAGACCACTGTTCTTTACAATGTTAAAAACAAGTCCAAACCATAAGCCCTCCACTACCATGCCGGCAGATGGTATGAGATGTTTGTGAGGTAAGCCGTTTCTTTCTACACATGCTGCTGTGCATTATGGGTAAACATCTCTACTTTGGTATTTTCTGTCCAACGGACATTGTTCCAGAAGTCTTGTGGTTCCGTCAGATGAAACAAACCTAAGTCATGCTGCCATGTTGTTTTTATAGATTTCTCCTGCAACCTGTGCAAACACTCGTACTCGTTTAGTGTTTTTCTAGTTGAATGTCATGACCTTTAACCTGCTGAGGCCTGTAGAAATTGAGGTAAAACTTGTGTTCTTGTGTTTTTCAATTTCTCGGCACATTGACCATGTATGTGTTCAGGACTACTCTCAGTTACTACCACACCAAATTCATCAATTATCTTTACCTGCTTCGACCTTTTCGGGTCACTGGTGCACATATCCAGCGGTCAATGTGTGAGAGACGGGGACACCCTGGACATGTCTTCAGTCCATCACAGGGACACATAGAGAAAAATCAGACAAACAACCATTCACTCTCTCACTCACACCTAGGGACAATTTAGTTACCAATCAGCTTAACATGCATGTTTTTGGTCTGTGGGAGGAAACCCACACATGCACAGAGAAAACATGCAAACTCCACCCAGTAAGGCCCTAACCAGGATTTGATCTGGCAACCTTATCGCTGAGAGGCAGCAGCTCTACCAACTGTGCCACCGTGCCGCACCCAAATTCAATTCAATATCGGTAAAACCAAGTTGAAGCTGTTGTTTTGAACAAAGTTAATAAGTTTACAACTAATGACTAATGCCAGGCAGCACGGTGGTGCAACTGGTAGAGCTGCTGCCTCTCAGCGAGCAGGTCCCAGGTTCAAATCCCGGTCCAGGGGCCTTTCTGGGTGGAGTTTGCATGTTCTCTCCGTGCATGCGTGGGTTTTCTCCGGATGCTCCAGTTTCTGCCACACAGACCAAAAACATGCATGTTAGGCTGATTGGTAACTCTGAATTGTCTCTAGGTGTGAGTGAGAGAGTGAATGTTTGTTTGTCTCGTTTGTCTCTATGTGTCCCTGTGATGGACTGGAGACCTGTCCAGGGTGTACCCCGCCCCTCGCACAGTGATTGCTGGACATGGGCACCAGCGACCCCCGTGACCCAAAATGGAAGAAGCGGGTAAAGAAAATGGATGGATGGACTGTGTAGCCTCTGATCTGAACCTGAGCAGTGTTCTGTTGTTGGACCTCCGTGCTGGTCGTGGTTTGTCCATCACGAGCACCATCAACCATAAGGGTGTCCATATGAGCACAAGGCACCAGGTCATGGATCCAAGATGGACTTTGTAGTCATGTCATCTGATCTGTGGCCGTTTGTTTTCAACGTCTGGGTGACGAGAGGAGCTGAGCTTCAACTGATCACCCAGTTTTGACTTGGATCAGATGGTGGGGGAAGATGTTGGACAGACCCGGTAGAACCAAACATGTTGTGAGTGTACTGATGCTACTAGTGAGCGCCATCCTCAAACCCAGTGGTGAAACAACACCCACCCCCCCCAGTGAGGGAGGCCATTAAACTGAAGGACACCGGAGACAGCTGAGGGTGGGCTGAGCTTCAGCCCAGATGTGGAAGGGGTTTGGAGACTTTTGATTGGCTCCGATAGGATTCTGGCAAACCATCAGTTGTGTGTGTGTGTGTGGGGGGGGGGGGGGGGGGCAGCACTTTACCAAGGCTGTGTGAGGTGTTGACCTAACCAGTGATGTCGTCAGGCGGTGGACATTGGACTTGACTAATAACACCAAATTTGAGCTCAGTGTCTGTAAACGGGCGGAGTTGTAGATGTTTGCCAAGGTTGCTTAGCAGTGGCAGCCATCTTGATCAGCCAACGATCATCAGCTACATCCACCGATTACTTTCTGAGTTCATAAAAATCCAAACAGTAATTGAAGAGATATTTTGCTAACGCTACAGACAACCACACCTGGCATGAGGCAGCAGATGATAACAAATGAACATGACAGAAACTTTTAGGAAGATATATTTTTCTGGAGGTGCAAGAATTAATTCCATAAACATGCACGTTTTAAAGTTTTGTCTCAACAGAACAGAAGTTGGTTAAACCGACTAAAACATGGCTGACATGGTGCGTTACCCATCAAACCGTGTAAACCCAACACACTCTATAAACATACAGAGGATGTCGACAACAACAAAAGGAGCAGCAGCGTTTAATTCGCTCTGATGTCAACAACCTGTCGAGTGCTTTTGCTCCATATAAAGATGAACCCATTAAAAACCCAGAGGGACTGGAACACGTACAGCTTCCATGTTTGTCTGGATGAAGCTCAACTTTAAACAAATATTCAACCATATTTTATGTCTTCGATAACCACTACAGAAACAAGATCTGCCTCCAAACATTTAAATGTTTAAAAGTTAAATCAACAGCAAAATGAGCAAGTTACACTGTACAAAACACTTTGCCACCCCCCCATGTGAAGTTTGTTGGGATGCTTGAAGCTCACTGAAATGCTTCATTTATTTTAAAAGGTTAAAACCAATGACCTAATCTGATGAGGTAAAATAAATTAAAAAAGAAAAAAGACTGGTCTTTTTTACAAAGATATGCTAAATGGTAGATTTATCGGTTCCCTTCAAAATGCTACTAATCTTTGTATTTTGGTCATGTGCATCACTTCAGCAGCAACTCAGCTGCAAATATTTTAAAGTAGAAAGTTCGTGGGACTTTTGCCAACTTCCCAGGATGTGGACGCAAGAGAAAATGCAAGCCCAGGTAAAGACCAAGGGACTTTTTTGATCGCACCGTCCTTCACTCCAATTAGGTCAAAAAATACTTTTCAGGAAAGAAAAAAAAAAGTAAAGTTATTTAACATTTGTGCAATTTTGTGCATCAACACAAAACATTTTAAACCTGTTACTCTTATTAAACCAATTATCTTTTTTTTATTATAATCTTGTCAATAACAAAAAAAAAAAAAGACGAAATATAAATAAAAACTTAAATACCTCTGTCACCACTTAATCCCAAACCAACAACGTTGCTGACGGAGTGAGGGTCTAAATCCCTCACTGGACACGTTTTATGACTATATGAGAACAAAAACTTGAAAACAAAAGGAGGAGGACCAAGGACGCAGCTGTGGGGTATTTCAGGACAGCTCTGCAGCAGAGGGCTGCAGTCTTGGTAGTGAAAGCAGTTTAAGGTTGAAATCCGTAGACAAGGAGGCCAACAGATCAGTCATGGTCCCACTCAGTGTTGTGTGCTTCAACACCACAACCTTCAAACATTGTTCCCGTCTCTGCGTGCGCCTTTTGTTTCCTCAAGTCCCTCTCTATGTATCCTCGTTCAGCTCCTGGCTGTCGGTTCGGGCCATTTTTCGAGGAGGAGCTGTAGCTTCCCCGTCTGCTTGCTCTTGTTCTCGCTTTTTTGGTGAATTCTGTTCAATTAAAATGAAAGTTATCAAACACACACTCAGAACTCATCTGCTGCCACCGTGTTCTGTCAGAGGCAGCTCTCCTCCATTACTGATGTTAAACATTTACCTTTTTGTCCCACTGCTGATGCAGATACCTCAACAGGATGTTTGTCTTCTCGGTCACAATAACTGAAGGAACAAACAACAACATCGCTGATTACATTCAGACAGACCGAGAGACGTGAAAAGTCCTGGCTCTCCTTGAAGGGATGCATATCACCCGCCACCTTTCACACCAGAGACTGGTTGAAAAATGACAAAAGTTGTAGCTGAAAAAGGGGTTTTAGTCAAACCTTGAAAATAACGTTATGCACAAGCTCGTGCAATATTGCCAGATGAGAGACTCGGCTACCACCACATCAGATTTGAGCTCAACATCTATAAAACTGAGTTACGGTCACTGTTGATAAACTGCAGCAGCCATCTTGAACTGGATTAGCTCCAGAGATGAATCAGCTGTAGACACACATCCAGAGATTACTTTCTGGAGGTTCCATTAAAATCTGTTGTTCAAGATATTTTGCTGACAGACAGGCACACTAACATTATGAAAGGTGTAAAAAGGTGCACGGTGATTGAAGACTTACTCTGTTCTGATGGATACTCTTGTGTTGGAAGATAAACAGACGGTCGGCGATTCTAAAAGAAACATTGACAAACTGTTGTCTCTAAACAAAACACACGTTTGACTACGTGACTGGGTTGAGAAAACACAAACCGTTTCATTATCCTGCTGAGAGAGAGGAACACTTACTGATGCTTTACAGACGGAGTCGGAGTGAAACCTGCTGAAGTTGCTTTTGTTGTAGACAGGTAGTCCCTTCAGGAAGTCTCCCTGTGCCAAAAACAAAACGATAAATCCCAACACGTCATGGTAGTTTAGATAACAACGTCTCATTTGGACTGGTTAAGCTGTGAACATCTTATGACCTGAAAACATACATCTGTTGGAAATCGTGATTATGACTCCACTTTGGTGTACTGTAGGTCAGAGCCATCACTGCAGAACAATTGTTCTTGACCATCAGGTTGAAATGATGAGAACTGACCATAAATGATCATAAATGGCAAAGTACCCAGAATTACACTTGTCATCTAATTGTTTACATCCTTTTAGTGTTTGGCTAAATTTAGTTTTTAGCTACTGCTTTGCTACATTTAGCATTTTGCTAATAGTTGTTTAATGCTACCATTTTCCTAATTTTAGCCACAGTTTTGTTAAATTTAGCTTTTAGAAACATATTGACGAACTTATTTTTGCTCATTTTAGCTACTACTATTTTAACAACAAACCAAAAAAGTCCATGCTCAATAATCCAGGTATACAATGCAACAATTTTCAGGTCATCTGGACAGTTGAGATGTTCGGGGGAAGAATCAGTTTTGTTGTGTGTTTCCTTCACTGATGAAGCCTTCTGGATGGAAGGTGAAATGTTTCAGCAAAATAAAGAAACTGTGCAGATGACCTGACTGAAACAACAGTTGTGTTGATTTTAGTTTGTGTCCTGCTTGTTTTATGGTTAACCATTGGTTGCAAAGCTCCAGACTCTGTATTCACACAGCTCCAGTTATTTAATAAAAAATAAATCATCATTATTTTTATGACTGCAGGGAAAGCTGGCACATTCTGAACATTTATCATTTACTCAAAGACTCATGTCAAACCTTTCTGAAATTAGGTCGACATTGTGAAAGCATTAGTGAGTTTTAACAACATTTACATTGTTCAACACGAACTCAGGAACATAATTATCCGTTTCTAATTTAACGGGTTTTCCTCATAATGTTGAAACATGGCTGCTACATCTTGGTATCATTTAAAAGTTCCTCTTAAAAAACGTGTTAACACTATCCAGGTAAAGCTTTTAGGGAGACGTTAAAAGTTTAAAACATAATAATAATCAGCTGTGAACCAACCTTCTCCATTTCGGTCCAACTTTAGGTTCGTTTATCCACTAGCTTAGCACCGAAGCTGCCGTTTCCTAGCCAGGATACCGCTTTGTTTACCGGGTCGACCGCCCTCTGAATCCTCTATAAAACAGGAACTACGTCTAACACACCGAACAGGACACGCCACTTTAGAAGTTGCAAAACTACCACACAAATAAAGAAAAACTAACGGTACGTGTCTGCGTAGCTAACTTGCTCCTACTTCTACTCCATCTTTGTTGTTCATCAGTCAGTGGAGCAGGCTGCACCTCATTGGCTCAACCGCAGAAGGACCCGTAAAAGCAAAGCGCTGATTGGCTAAAATTTGATTGCGTAATAGTCCCCGCCCACACGAGGGAGATCCGGGGCAGGCGGTTGTAAACAAACTAGTGTACAGTCCCACTTGCATGAAGTGAATCGTGTGCGGCCACGCTGTTTCTCTCCAGGAGTTTATCATTTGGTTCTGGATGCCATCTTTTTCCTTCAGTCTTATTTGGGCCAATGTCTTATTTTATAAAAATCCAAAAGTTTGGTTGGAAATCTGTTCAGTCTAATTTATTGTTCATATCAAGGTCAAGGTTTTTTTATTGTAATTCACATGTGTTACATGTGGTAGAACGAAATTGTGTACCCAAGGTCACAGTTACATTCAACAAAAGTATAAATTGTAAAAGAAAAACAGTAATAAGATCTAAGATATGTACTAAAAAATACACTAGGATTACTAGGAAATACGTTAAACACGAAACAATACGCCGATCAACAGCAGCATGAACATGAGTCGGTGTGAGTAGATGAGTACGAATTAATACAGCAGTACAAAATAAATCAGCAGCATGAGATCAGCAGCACGTTAACAATCATGTGGCATTACAGTGATCTTTTTTCTTCTTTCACAGTAATAATTCTGATTCATGAGTCTAACAGCCTCAGGGTAGAAGCTGTTCCTCAGTCTAGTGGTTCTGCACTTAATGCTCCTCAACCTCCTGCCTGAGGGGAGTGGGGCAAAAAGTGTGTGTGCTGGATGAGTGAGGTCCTTCATTATGCAGATGGCTCTCTTCCTGCATTTAGAGGTGTAGACATCTGTGATGGTGGGGAGGCTGACTCCAAAAGACTTCTGTATATGAAGGTCATCACAAGGTCAACAATACAATGAAATGCTCAGGATGAGAAGAACCATCCCGACTCATAGAAAAGCAAACAAACAAGAAATACCAAGGCATGCAACAAAAGTACAAAACAAAGCACCAAAAAGTGAAAAAGAAAAGCATCTACATGCTCCAAAAGAAACAATACAACGGTGTATGCACACACATACACCACAATGGCTGCGTGACAGGCCACAACAGTGAGCAACACTGAGATGAACTGAACCACAGTGGCAAGGCGACACACGATACAGCCACATAGTGCAGCAACAATAAATTCATAAATTAAGTCTAATATGCTGTTTAAACACAAAATCTTTCATTCAGTTCAGTTTATTTATATAGCACCAAGTCACAACAGAACTTGTCTCAGGGCACTGAACAGAAACATTCACTTCCATTAAAAAAGCCAATTAGTAAAAGTTATCTATCTAATGAAGTCATCAGATTGTACTGAATCTTCACTTCATCACAGTCTCCCATCCTGAGCAAGCACAAAGGAGACAGTGGAAAGGAAAAACTCCCTTTTAACAGGAAGAAACCTCCAGCAGAACCATGCTCAGGACAAGCGGCCATCTGCTTTGACTGGCTGGTTGAGAGGACAGGAAGGAGAGACAGACGAACACAGAATGAAAGTTCCAGATATAGGTTCAGATGTACCTTCTATTGGAAGAAAGACAAAAAACATGTTAAGATAGAAATAATTACACATATAAAACAGGTAGAGTAGAGTAAGTAAAGACAGTAGCAGAATGAAGAAATGTGGTCAGTTTGTCCTCCAGCAGTCTAAGCCTATAGCAGCATAGGACAGCTCAGGAAAACCAAGCATAACTATAGGATTTATCAAAAAGGAAAGTCTTAAGCCCAGTCTTAAAACTGGACAATGTGTCAGCCACATAGACAGAAACTGGAAGTTGGTACCAAAAGACAGGAGCCTAACTGGAAGAAATTCCTCCCATTCAGCTTTTGGAAACTCTAGGAACCACAAGTAAACCTGCAGTTTGAAAGTGAAGTACTCTGTTAGGAAAATATGGAACAATAAGGTCTCAAATATAAGATGAAGCTAGGTTGTTGAGAGCTTTGTAGGTTAGAAGTAAGATTTTGAATTCAATTCTGGATTTGACAGGGAGCCAATGGAGAGAAACTAAAACTGGAGAAATATGATCTCTCCTACTAACTCCAGTTAAGACTCTGGCAGCAGCATTTTGGATCAACTGAAGACGTTTTAAAGAAGTATTTGGACATCCAGATAATTAACCATTGCAATAGTCCAGTCTAGACGTGACAAATGCATGGACCAGTTTTTCTGCATCATTTTTAGATAAGATGTTTCTGATTGTAGTGATATTACACAGGTGGAAGAAGGTAGTTCTAGTAACATTTTTAATGTGGGGGATAAAAGACATGTCCTGATCAAAAATAACACCAAGATTTTTAACATTAGAGCTGGAGGACAGATTAATGCCATCTAAGGAGGGAGAAAGACTGAAAAATTCATTCCTAAGGTGCTCAGGTACAAAAAACAAAACCTCAGTCTTGTCTGTGTTCAACAGGAGAAAATTACCACTTGCTCTTGCCGAGGTCGGACGCTTTTCCCCTCCCTCTCTGTTTTGCTTTGCTGCTCTGTCTGTATGTGAAACTGCTTCTGAGCCTCTCTTGCATCTTCTGAACCATAATTACAGACTTGATTTGATCAGTTGGTCCCTCAACACAATTGATAACATTTCTTCGAAGAGAAGACGGGCTTTAGGCGAGCTGATTTGCCCTGTTGGCACGTAGCTGGATATCTCATCGACTTGGAAGACTTGATGATGTGTCTGTCTCTGCTGCCATTTGTGGATTTTAAGGACGCATATTTAATTGGATTTACGATAGCTGGTTCCTGCTTTTTGGATTCGGCTGGTTGCTGGTTTTATCAACAATCAAGGAAGTTGTCAGCAGCAAATTTGGACCCAATAACGCTGCTTGCCTTATGATGGCTTGGTTCGTGTCTCGAGTACCCAGACTCAAGTGCTTTGGACAGAATGGATCAGATCTTGGGGATTATTCTCAGGCATGTTCTTTTGGTGTGGCCATGTAATTTGGACATTTTGGAACCGAGTGGACCAACACAGACTCAAGGTAGACGTCATTAAGTTATGTCTGTCCCCAAAACAACTGTGTGTTTATCTGAATTTGGCTCCCTTGGCTGTCCTTGAAGGTCATCTTATCTGAATTTGCCTGGAGAACATGTGATTTGACGCTCACCACACCCTCCCCGAGGAATTTCCATCTGATAACCAGATGAAACCAGGTGAATAAACTTTGTGTCATCATTTCAGGACTCGGATTCTCATAATTGTTATTCTTGGCCATTCCCCGACATCCCTCGAGAATGTTTATGGATCTCACCAGAGGACATTGGCTGATAATTCCATCCTTATCAGAACTCTTACAGTGACCTCGAGAGCATCCTTGGACATTGCTCACCGCTCTCCTCGTGACACCCCCTCCACACACAGTATGTCTACGCCACTATGTGTTTGTTTCTGCGAGGTGTTTTTTAATATTAGTTTTTCTTCTCAGGCAAGAAGAGTCTGATAGGAATTTTTTCGCCTCCAATTCCTACATGTGTCCAGTTTCATTACTTTTTGTCTGTCTACACAGATCTCACTTGTAAATGAGTCTTTGACGCTCAATGTGACTTATTTGTCTAAATAAAGGTTGAATGAAAAAAATTGTCATCCAGGTTTTTATGTATATTATTTAAGACATGCTTGTAGTCTAAGTAGCTGATTAGATTAATTGGGTTTCATGGACAAATATAATTTTGTATCATCAGCATATCAATGAAAATTTATCCCATGCAGTTTAATAGCATTACCTAATGGAAGCATACAGTATATAAGGTAAGGAGTATTTGTCCAAGCACTGAACCCTGAGGAACTCCATGACTAACTTTGGTGTATGAAGAAGATTATTTACATTTACAAACTGGAATCTATCAGATTAACATGATTTAAACTATTTTAGAGCCGTTCCTGTAATTCCAATTTCATATTTAATTCTCTGAAGTAGAATATTGTGATCAATTGTATCAAATGCAGCACTGAGGTCTAACAGAACCAGTGTAGACACCTGTCCATTGTCAGAGGTCATGAGAATATCATTAGTGACTTTCACCAGTGCAGAGTCAGTGCTATGATAAGCTCTAAACCCTGAAACTCTTCAAACAGATTATTTCTTTGTAGATGATCATACAACTGACCTGCAACTATTTTCTCAGGAATATTTTAGATGAATGCTAGATTCAATATAGGTCTATAATTGGCCAGAATCCCTGAATCAACATCAGGCTTCTTAAGTATAGTTTGTTTTTTGTATTATTTAATATTAACATATATGCACTAATTGAACAACTCATGACTTTTGACATTTTTATACATTTTGTAAAATACTGATACTGAACTGTAATATGTAAATGCCACCCCACAAATAAATAAATAAATTATCCATTAAGGTTGTTGACTAAATCATCTTGAGTGTTACTCAACCAGCACCGTATTCTCTCGATATGGTGCTGGTCATCACCAAATCAAAATTTAGCACATCATTATTGCTGTTGTCATTTTTGCTTTTAAGTTCACCTGGCTGTGGCAGCCATCTTGAACTAGACTCCAGAAGTTATTCAGTTGTATTTGTTCATGCAGTGACTACTTCCTGAATGCTTTACGATGACCCGTCCAATAGTTTGTGACATTTTGCTAACAGACACCGTCTCAGCTACCACTGTATCTAATTTCAGTTCAATGTGTAGAAATGCCCATTTTATAACCCTTCTTGTGTCCTTTTAAGAACAGTTGGGTGTGGCAGCCATTTTGAATCAAGTTGAATCCAAAAATGATCCAGTATAGATGTAGTCCAATGCTTTTCAAACTTCTTTAAAATTTGTCCACTGGTTCATGAGATCTTTGGTAACTGTTTGGCCAACAGCAAAGCATTAATCTGGATGGTAAATTTAATAAACGCTGCTGAAGAAATGAACGTTTGCATCAGAAAATCATTTTATTAGAGCAAGTTTGTTTGTGAACAAAATGCTTTCACAGAAAAAAGAAGACACGTTTGATGACTCTGACCACAACATTATAGAAGGTGATGCTAGCAGGTCTTTCCTCGTTGATGAAATTTGTTGGGAAAGTTCACTTCATTCACATGCCATTACTGTGAAAGCATAACTCCGCCCCCACACCTTGCGTCATCCAATGCACAGCTTCTTGGTGACATTCTGAGCACATCGTGCAGTTTGAAGCCACTTCCTCACACGTCTCAGAGAATCAATCACTGCTCTCAGTGCGTGAGGGATTTCCGTCCTTTTAACATGCGCCTCAGAATCACCTTGATGCCGCCGGGCGTGCTGAGCCTCTTGATCCAGCCATGGGTTCTTTTACGCTTGACGTTACTTGGCTGATACTCTGTGCCCCTTTTACGGGTCCGGACCTGCTGGTACTGTCCGGGGGGCTGCTGGAACACTCCACAGCCCTCTGCCTGTGAAACTAGTGGCCCTGGCAGTCTGGAGATCTGAGGTCTTGCAGTTGTGCTGGAGACAAACCAGCTGCTGAAGGACCTGAGGTGAAAACATGGTAATCACTTAAAACGCACTGGAAACAACTAATCACATTTTTACTAACAAACTACTGCTCTCAAAAATATTTTAACATAAACATGATCAAGTCTATCATACTGTAAAGAACTTATCAGAGGGGGTCTGGGGTGCCATATAATGAACTGACTAATACACCACACGAGATAAAAAGTAGTAAACTAACAAGCTGTACACAGACTGTCACTGAGGGATTTGAATGTTTGTAGTTTTTGAGATGTGTGTTTTTCTGGACGGGAATTGAACAGGGAAGTAAACCTTAATGTTTTTGGTACAAAATATTCAAGTGGGTAGGAACAGAGGACGTTGGGTTTTTCCTTGTCCAAGACAGAGCAGAGTCATGAATCCTGGCGAGTGGAGGGAATATTTTTATCCACCACCAGAAGCATTGGTGGAGCCAGGGGGTGTCCGATGGTGGCCACTACTGGTTAAACTTCAGCCACCACAATCATCTGAGGAAACTATACTTTTAAGCAATGTACCAACTAGAAAGCATGGCTCACTCAAATGACGGGGTGGCCAGTTTACATATTTACAGTAGTCCCTCGCTACTTCGCGGTTCTACTTTTGCTGACTCACTGTTTCGCAGGTTTTCACTGTAAGACGCGACACACGATTGGCTGATTGATGGAAGGCCACCAACCAGAACAATGTGCTCTGTATCCCGAGCGCTGATGGGCTCAGCACTCGTAGCATCAGCCTGTCTGCTCTGTTTCGCTGTGCTTTATTTTATTTTTTTATTTTAGTTGAGAACATTGCAAGTGTGTGGGAAGGGTTTAAAGCCTTAAAATATATATAAATACTAAAATAAATAGAACATCCCTACTTAGCAGATTTTCACTTGTATATATAAAACATGTGGTGGCAGCCATCTTGGATTTTGATGTGACAGCCCAACTTTTGAAAGTTGCTCTTCTTACACAGACGCAGCCACACATCAAAATCGAAGTTGGCACGTTACTCATCTTTCAAGTTTTCCAGGTCACAAGACAAACAGACACATGTGGTGGCAGCCATCTTGGATTTTGACGTGACAAACCAATTTTCGAAAGGAACATTGCTTACGCCTTTACGTACACCAACATGAAAGTCAGTACCTCACTTATGTTTCGAGTTGTCATGCTCATACATGCACGGACAGATGGAGGGTATTTCCAAAATCCCTTTTCACTCTGTATCGGGGTACCAAAAAATGTGTTCTTTATCAATTTGTTACAGAACACATTTTGTTCCTTACTTTTAGGAGCCGGTGCTCATCTGTCTGTAGATGATTAAACTGCAGACGTTTGTTTTTCTTCAAGCTGCCTGTTACATTTTACATCAGTCAGAACAGAGATTTTAATCACTGTTAGAAATCACAACTGTGTGACCAGTAAGAAGTGATACCCACTGCTCTGCTAGAATACATGTAATGAATGACAGTGTGTCATTTATAAAAAAAGATTTTACAACCACAACCTGCAAACAATCTGAATGAAAAACTGAAAAATATCCAGACAGGAATATTAAACTGTGATTTATGATTAAAATGTGTGAGGGAGAAGATCTAAAGTGCACTGCTTGGTCTGACGTCAGGGTTTCAAACTTACTAAAGGAGGACTTTGTGACACTAAGTAACGTGTAGCAGGGACAAATGTAGGACAAGAGGCAGAAGGGTTTACGGTCAACGACGCATCTCAAACTGTGATTTTGTCGTATTTTCTGCCATACACGACGCTCCGCCCTATAAGTCACATCAGTCCATATTGGTCTAATAAAGTGGAAAAATCCATAAATATGTCGCTTCGCTGTATATATCGCATCTATTACGCGTCACCGCTGACAACCCCGAAATGTGGGTCGGTGTTGTGCCAAAAACCGATGGGCTGCCAAATGGCGGCTGAGGGAGCGTGCACCGGAGAACTTTAACAAGAATTTAACAAGATTAACACTTAAAAACAATTATTTGTTTGGTCGAAATTATACGAAAGTGTGTATCAATGTAACGTTTGCTTAATAAATGTACTTTAATGGTCAAATTAGCTGCATTTCACTGGGACAGTGCAGCTGGATTGACGGTCGGTCCAAGCAGTGAGCAGAACCAAGGTGGGGAGACAATGTCAGGCTGATTGAGTGATTAAGGGCTGGTGAAGATGCTCAGTCATCCAGGACATAGTAAATTCAACGAAGTTCAAGACAAAAAAAAAAAAAAAAAAAAACAATAAAGTATAAAGTATAACAAATAAAGTCCAGTTGTTTTTGTCTCAAACTTTTTTGAATTTGTCAGTCAAGCCACGGTTTCTTATTACATGATACAACAGCATGCCTTACAACCATTACTACTCTGCTGCCATCAAGTGGCTGAAAATGGTACTGCTCTTTTTTTTTTTTTCAGTCAGAATGAATGAAAACGATCATATTTCAGCCAAAAATTGTTTTATAAATATGGGAAAAATCCTTTAATATGTCGCATCGGCCTATAAGTCACAGGGCATGTAAATTATGTAAAAAACTGTGACTTATACAAAGAAAAATATGATAATCATTGCTGTAGAATCATGGTTTTTCTATGGACAAATGTTAAAAACAAATATATTATATTTGTTTACTTCAAGCATCTAAGAAGTTTTTAACGAGGTCCAGTCAGGTTCGCTGGATGGATTCTAGTTTGTTGAAACATTTTTTCTTTTATCCAAAAGACTTCTTCAGTCTGAGACTGAATTCACCTCAGACTGAAGAAGTCTTCTGGATAAAAGACGAAACTTTTCAACAAACAAGAATCCATCCAGAGAACCTGATTGAACCTTGTTAGATTTTCCTACCTGGATTATTGAGCATGCATCAGGACGTCTAAGAAGTATGATGTTGAAGCTACTTTATCTATTAAATCAGACGACTTTTATTTGAAAGGCAGACTATTTTAAATACAAATTGTAAAAATAACAAGTGACAGAATCATGCAGACAGTTCTCTGCATAGATCATTTTCATTATTAAAGATAAATAATACACGGGCATGTGTTTTTCTTTATATGGCTAAAATTGAAAGTTTTTTACTCCTAGCATTTGTACAGGTTAGTCTCATTGAGCCACGAGGACTCATTTACAAGACAGATCTGTTATCATATCTCAAATAAGCATCATCTTAAAAGCTAAATCAGTGATTCCTGTGTTTGTTGTACCACATTAAAGATAGGCCTGTATTTGTTTGTTTGGTCAATGCTCAGTTGTTGTTGTTTTCCTTCATGACATCATTCACAGTACAAGAAGTGTTTTTTAGACCAGGGCTCTGCAACCTGCAGCTCTGGAGCCACATGTGGCTTTTCAGCTTCTCTCAAGTGGTTCCTTGTAATGACATGAATATGATTTATGTTTAAATTGATAAAAGGATTGGATAGTTTTCCTGCTCAGACCTTTGCAGGCTGTGGGTGTAATTTCTGCAGCATAATGATGGCAAATCATTCATATGGATCGGATTGCCTGTGAACTCAATCTGAACAGACATTAGTTCACTTAGCAGCTAATATAAATGTCCTTTTAAACTGCTTCTCATGATTTTTGTACCAGAACGAGCTCACTGTGTTTTGAGTTTTCACCAGAATGCGTTTAAAATGCAACAGTGATATGCTACTTACAGACTGCTTCATCTCCAAAGCAACCAGCAAATATACATTTTTTTCAACATACCGTAATTAGTTTTTTCTAAAAGCAGAAATTAGTTTTGCAAGTCTATCAAAAACACTGGATTTTAAGATGCAGAAATTTACATATTAGTAACATACAGAGTGGCACGGGGGTGTAGTTGATAGAACTGTTGTCTCTCAGCTAAAAGGTTACTAGATCGAATCCCAGCTGGGACCTTTCTGGGTGGAGTTTGCATGTTCTCTCCGTGCATGTGCGGGTTTTCTCCGGGTGCTCCAGTTTCCTCCCTCTGACCAAAAACATGCATGTTAGGCTGATTGGTAACTCTAAAATTGTCCCTAGGTGTGAGTGAGAGTGTGAATGGTTGTTTGTCTCGTTTGTCTCTATGTGGCCCTGTGATGGACTGGAGACCTGTCCAGTGTGTCCCCACCTCTCGTGCCGTGATTGCAGGACATGGGCACTAATGACCCCAAAGTAAAAAGCAGGTAATGAAGATGGATGGATGGTAAGCTCTAAGGAAAGCCTTAAACAGTTGTTTTTAAAAAATCTGGTCTTTAATTTGAGCACACTTAAGGTAAAAAAAAATAAAAAAATAAAAAAATATATATATGGTTTATTATTATTTATTAATGTTCTCTAATATTAGGACATCCTTCATGCTTGTTTTCGAAAAGACTTATTTTGCTTCTTTCTTTTTTTTTTACAATGAGTAATGTAAGTGGTTCTGTAGAAATGAAAATATTACATTTGTACAGAATAAAACAACAGTTCTGCATAATTTTCTTGAATAGAACTTTTATTATTCTTTTCTTTTTGCCTGACTCTTGAAAATATGTAAATGCCACACACTGACTATAAAGTATGGAACTACAATATTGTTTTTCCTTATATTAGGGTCCAAGTGGCTCTTAAATTTAATTTGGTTAAACAAATGATTTATATGGTTCCTACAGACTGATGTAAATGTTTAAATAGTTCATTGTCATTTGGTTGTAATGACTGGACTACTACAGCAATAGTAATTAGAGAAACAGGTAGGAAGGTACTTGGTGTGTCATCTTGGCAGCAAATGGATGATCAGGAAACCTGGTGGTGGAATAGTGAAGTGCAGGACGCTGTTCAAAGAAAGAGGTTAGCCACGAAGAGAGGAGACAGGAATATAAGGAGATGCAATGTAGAGCAAAGGGGGAGGTAACAAAGGCAAAGCAGAAGGCGTACAATGAGTTGTATGGGAGACTAGACACTAAAGAGGGCGAGGACTTGTACCGATTGGCAAGACAGAGGGATCAGGCTGGAAAGGATGTGCAGCAGGTTAGGCTTATTAAAGATAGGAAAGGTAATGTTCTAACAAGTGAGGAGAGTGTGACGGGAAGATGGAAAGAGTGCTTTGAGGAGCTAATGAATGAAGAGAATGAAAGAGAAAAAAAGAGTAGAGGTCGTAGAAACTGTGGACCAGGAAGTGGGATAGTGAGGGTGAAGTCCGGAAAGCTCTGAAAAGAATGAAGAAGGGGAAGGCAGTAGGACCAGATGACACACCAGTGGAGGTTTGGAAATGTCTTGGAGAGATGGCAGTGAGGGTTTTGACTCAAATATTCAATGGCATATATGAAGGTGAGAAAATGCCTCAGGAATGGAGAAGAAGTGTGCTGGTGCCCATTTTTAAGAACAAGGGTGATGTACAGAGTTGTAGCAACTACAGGGGAATTAAGTTAATGAGCCACACGATAAAGATCTGGGAGAGAATTGTGGAAGCAAGACTTTGACGAGAGGTGACTATCTGTGAGCAGCAGTATGGTTTCATGCCAAGAAAGAGCACCACAGACGCCATCTTTACTTTGAGGATGCTGATGGAGAAGTACAGAGAGGGTCAGAAAGAACTCCATTGTGTCTTTGTGGATTTAGAAAAAGCATCTGACAGAGTGCCGAGGGAGGAGGTGTGGTATTACATGAGTAAATCTGGAGTGGCAGAGATGTTAGACTGGAGCAGGACATGTGTGAGGACAGCAGGACATGTGTGAGGACAGCAGGACATGTGTGAGGACAGCAGGACATGTGTGAGGACAGCAGGACATGTATGAGGACAGCAGGACATGTATGAGGACAGCAGGACATGTGTGAGGACAGCAGGACAGAGGTGAGATGTGCTGTAAGAGTGACAGATAGCTTCAAGGTGGAGGTGGGAGTGCATCAAGGATTGACTCTGAGCCCCTTCTTGTTTGCTCTGGTGATGGACTGACTAACAGATGAGGTCAGACAAGAATCCCCATGGATCATGTTTGCAGATGACATTGTGATATGTGGTGAGAACAGGTAGAAGAGAACTTGGGGAGGTGGAGGTATGTACTTGAAAGAAGAAGAATGAAAGTCAGTCGTAGTAAGACAGAGTACATGTGTGTGAATGAGAGGGAGGAGGTGGAACAGTGAGGCTACAAGGAGCAGAGGTCACGAAGGTGCAGGACTTCAAGTACTTGGAGTCCACTGTCCAGGAAAATGGGGAGTGTGGTAAAGAGGAGACAAGAGAGTCCAGGCAGGATGGAGTGGATGGAGAAAAGGTTCAGGAGTGATTTGTGACAAAAGGGTGTCAGCAAAGGTCAAAGGAAAAGTTTACAAGACAATGGTGAGACCAGTTATATAGTATGGTCTGGAGACAGAGACATGGACAAAAAGACAGGAGAAAGAACTGGAAGTGGCAGAAATGAAGATGTTGAGGTTCTCCTCAGGAGTGACAAGGATGGATAAGATCAGGAATGAGATCATCAGAGGTACAGCACAGGTGGAACAACAGGGAGATAAAGTTAGAGACCAGACTGAGATGGTTTGGACATGTCCAGAGGAGGGACAGTGGGTATACTGGTAGAAGGATGTTAGAAATGCTGCTGCCAGGAAAAAGACAAAGAGGAGATATATGGATGCAGTTAGAGAGGACATGGACGTAGTTGGAGTGAGGACAGAGTGAGGTGGAGGAGGATGACTCGCTGTGGCGACCCCTGAAGAGGGAAAAGCCGAAAGAAGAAGAAGAAGATTGTCATTTGGTTGTAACCTCAGTATCTGCTGATGTCAGTCACATTAGCAGCTAGCTAACCTGCACTAAAACTGCTAATGCTAAGTTAGCCTTTCACTAGCACGACGGTGAAAAACACGAGCATTTTTACTGAGCGGACATACGTGTTTCTTCTTACCTGCTAAACTGGGTTAATCCACGCAGTTGTGTAAAAGACAGAATAACGCTCATTTTGTACTTTAAGAATGCAACTAGTCAATGTCACGGTGTTTCTCTGCTGCGTGCTGACCATAGACGTATGTATCAACATGAAGCGATCTGATTGGCTAATGGCTAAGACGTCAGCCAATCGTAGCCCGTCTTACTGGATTAGTTTTGTCGCCCTGCGGAAACTCATGGATTGTAATGAGATAAATAAATAAAAGTATATTGGTCTATGTGAGTGAAACAAATGCTTTAAAACTGTCCGAGATTTCAAACTGTAAAAATACAATATCAAAATGTTAATCTATATTAAAAAAGTGTCCCAATATTGTTTTGTTCGTGACTGAGCAAACAAAAAGTGATTCAAAACAATGCAATTGAAACAATTCAAAATTACCAATTATTATTTAACCTCATTTATCTCAAAATACTTTATTAAGACTATTTGGGTTACAGAAGAGAAAAGTCTTGAATATTTTCAGAATATAAAAAATTGCCCTCAGATGCTTTTCTTCTAATGACTAGTTATTAAAACTCACATTGCTCTTCTGATCATGTCTGTAACACGTGTGTCTACTTAAACTCCAGTATGTTAAAGATAATCAATGGAGCACTACAGTCATGCGAGAAAAAGATTTGAAAAATCTGTTTAAACCTTGTTTTGCCTTAATTTAAAAATGATCTTTTCCAAAATATTGCAACCTAAACTTAAGTAAAAAATAAATAAATAAAATAATAAAAAAATCTGTTTGTTTCTATCAAAAATTAAAAATGTGAAAAGTAAACATTACATCCACTGCACGATGACAGCAATTTTTTAATAATTTGTAACAGCTGTAGATGTGCTGCATAAAGTTCTGACATTTCAGGTTGAAACATTACTTCTTTGTTTCTATATTTTATGTCACAACTTGATTCCAAAAATAGATAAAATTTATGTTTTAAGTCTGACTTTCTGGACTTAATAGAAATTCAGTCGGTCTAATTCAATTATTATACAATTAAATTAATATGTAAGAAAAAGATAAATGCATTTGTCTATCTAAGCAGAAATCGTGTCCACTGTCCCCCAGAAGTCCTGTACGAGGTGATGGACAACAAGTCAGAGAGCACAAACTCCCTGTTGACAGGAAGAAACATCTGCTGGGACTCTGCAGGACAGGGAAGAGAAAGGCACAGTTTCTGTTGGGGGGGGACAGAGGACACAACGTTAATGCAAAGGCAGCAACGACTGAATAAAATGGTGCATATAGAGAGTAAAGACAACAGTGAGGACATGTGGTCAGAGCGGCCTCCAGCAGACAAACACGTCTAGCATAATGAAGGAACACATGTCAGGAAACTCAAGCCAACCCCTCACTACTGGGTTTATTTTAAAGGGAATGTTTTGGCCCAGTTAAAAAAAAAACATTCCTCTATAGATACAAAGATTGAATTAGCTGTGGGGTGGAAGGATCTAAATGCTGATGTCCAAGGAATAACTATGAGACCTCAAGAACACTTGTTGAACTAAAGCATATAATCAGTGGCAACAACATGTTCTATAAGTAGGTGGTGGAAACATCAGGAGAACTAGTTATTTGAAGAGGTCATCACGAGGACTGGCTGTGAAAAGAGCACATGAGAGAGAATCTCTCAGAAGTAAAGATGGGCAGAGGTTGACCAGTCTGTCTACAACTGCATCATAATGGGATCATTTCAAAATAATTTGACTATCTACAGCTCAGAATATCATCAAAGGTTTGAAAGAATTAATCTGTGCACAAAGAAAAGTCAGCAGTGCGTTAAAAACAGGTCTGATTCTGATCTGGACTCAGGACCACTTCCACTGCACTGAAAACACCGTTCACCTTGCATCATAAGTGCTGGCTAAAGCTCTATCAGGCAAAGAAGCCATATTTGAACACCACTGAGCATCACTGCTGTCTCAGCTGGGCTCATCTAAAATGGACTGAGGTAAAGTGGGAACTGTTTCGTGGTCTGATGAATAAAAATGTGAAATTCTTCCATGTCCCTGGAGAGGGAGCTGGCCTGTTACCAGTGCTCCCTTCTGACTGTTTTATCTGCATTTTACAAAACGTCCAAACTTTTTTGGAATTGTGGCTGAAGAAGAGACGGAAGATTTTTCCACACTTTCTTTTTATTTTTATTTAACTTTTAGGTAATCTCATTGAGTCATGAGGACTCATTTTCAAGAGAGACCGTTTGGGAGCAGATGCTGGGGGTTAAGGGCCTTGCTCAAGGGCACAGAGTGGGACAAATTGGCAGAGGCAGGTGTGGGTGCTTCACCTTTCCGGCTTTCCCCACTACATTTTGATGTTGTTGGTCCGGTGAGTCGAACCAGCGACGATCACAGGCCCACCTGGCTCGGTTGGTGGCAACCCAGTGTTCAATGGGAAACTTTGACAGATGCAGCCACTTTACACCAGTTCATATAACTCAAAACCAAAACATCACACCGACGTGTCATGAAAACCAACAGAGTGAGTTTAGTTCCTGTGGCTCTGCATGAATAATTTTCAGGGAGCCACTTCGTTTCAGATTAGAGGTCGTATGTTCCTCTGATTTTCTTGTGACGCAGTTCTGGAGGTTTAAACGCAGCTGGAGCTTCTCATGGTCATTTATCATCCTCACATGATCTGACCATCACTGTCCTTCCAGCAGACCGCAGTCCCCTCATCACAATCCTCGCCCTGGCAACAAACACACTGTCCTTCTCCTATTGGCCTCCTCTCAGCTCCCAGTTGTCCTCCATTCGTCCTCGCTGCTGCCACTCGGCGGCGGAAATGCACGAAGATTGCCGAGCCGGTCCGAGCGCCGCGGAACAGAGCTGGGGAGGGTTTGGGCCGCATTGGATCCTCAGGACAGGAGGGGTGCCGTTTGTTTTCGTAATGGGTGTCCTGTTAAAACGCATTTGGATCTGTTTCATGGCTGCACGCGCTCCCATCAGTCCCAGCACCTCGGCGTCCTGTAACAACACTCCAATAAGGCTGAAAAGGTGTTTGGTTGCATAGACCTCCCTCGACTGTCGTCCAGGTCCAGGTCCAGGTTGCGCATCTCCCAGTTCTGCAGGTAAGGACTCCATGTTTATTATGCTGCTCATTTTACTGAACACGTCAGCCTGTTGCTGTCGCGAACTGCATCTATTTATTATGCGACACTTCCCCCAACAGGACTAAACATTATGAGATGTTTGCGCATGAACAAAATATTAGCCTAATTCTTGATGTGCAAAAAAAAAAAAAAAAAAAAAAAGGCCTTTCGACCCATTTTCTATGACCTACTGTTCCTTAAACCTTAAATATTTTAAAACAAATGTTTTCAGAGGCTTTTGCTTCTGCACAGCTCATGATGCTCTGTAGTGAAATAATGTCCGACCTCCTGCTGCGCCTCTTGAGGTTCGTGCATCCAACAGAAAGTAGGTTAAAATGGTCTCCTTTTGCAAAGAGCCTATGCATGTGCACGAGAAATGAACACCCTGGCTGTGAAAACACACAACGTGCTCAATGCGGAATTGTTTTGGCACGCGCACAGCTGGATGGCTGCAGTCCAGATGAAAATGCATGTTGTTAAATCTGTTTACCTTCCTCCTTACAGCCTTTGATATATTGATAGGAAGTGGGTCAGCAAGGGAATCTCTATTCCCATTTCACCCCTACTGATCAATATTCTTATTGATTGTTCCGCGTCATAGGGTCATAGGTGCACCTGAGCCTTTCAGACAGACAGACAGACAGACAGACAGACAGACAGACAGTTAGTCAGACAGACAGACAGACAGTCAGTCAGACAGAGACAGAACACCAATTTCAAAAAGTTGCATAAAATGCCAATAAAGCCTAAATGTAAGGATTTGTGAATCTCAACGCCCATATTTTATTTACAGTGGATCATAGCAAACATATTAGGTGTTGAAACTAGGAAATTGTCCAATTTTTAGAAAAGGACAATTTGAATTTGCAACAGAGCAGAAACAGGACTGGGTATAAAGGGAGCATTTTACATTTTGTTCACATTGCAGGTCTTGATGTTCTATCAATATTTTGCTGAGGTCCAGTCTTTTACATTATATTATAAAATCTGAAGTTGGGTAATCAGAACTGACTTAATGGACGGACGGACGGACAGTTGGGTGGGTGAGTGGATGGATGGATGAACGGATGGGTGAGTGGATGGATGGATGGATGGGTGGGTGGATGGATGGATGGATGGATGGATGGATGGATGGATGGATGGATGGGTGAGTGGATGAATGGGTGGATAAATGGGTGGGTGAGTGGATGGATGGGTGGATGGATGGATGGATGGATGGACAGACAGTTGGGTGGATGGGTGAGTGGATGGATAGATGGATGGGTGGATGGATGAATGGATGGATGGATGGATGGACAGACAGTTGGGTGGATGGGTGAGTGGATGGATGTATGGATGTGTGTATTTGCTGCCACCACAGGTGATAGTTTCTGTGTCTGTACAGTGAGTGCTTGTTCTTCTGTCATGCGTCTCGTCAGCTCCTAGATAAATCTTAATAAAGTGAGAAAGACATCACTGGATGTTCGTCTCCAACTTTTGGACCTCTCAGTTCAAGATGGCCACTTTTCCTCATTAACAATATTCAACATTACATTTACTGTAACTCTGTCACTTTTGCACATGTTGAGATAAAGTCTCAATGTCTGACACATCTTGAAAGATCTTGCATGAGATAAGACATTTAACAAGGTTTGGTCAAAGTGGCTACAACCTCCTCCCTTCTTTTCTTATAATTCTCTGATTCCTAAACTCACACATGAAAGGTGGTGGGCTAAATGCTTTAAGGAGTGCTTGGTCTTTAATTTAAAGCTTGTTTTGGTCTGATTTGCATGATAATAAGTCGAGAGCATCCATCATTTTCAGATGTTTCAGTACCCTCAACAGTGACCCGAGGAAATAATAAAAAGACCATTTTCTTTTCAAAAGGAAGGAGTTGCTTAGAAACAGCTTGTGTTCAGTTTTCTAAGAATCAGATGAGACGTTTCCACTGAAGCAGCAGATGACTTTTTCAAATACTGCAACTAGTTTTCATTTATAGAAAGATACAGTAGATATAATGGATAACTAATATAATCACTGTTATCTTCTTTTTTTATTTGAATTTACCATTTTTATTTGAACAATATTTATAATAATATTTATATTATTCCTAGAATAAAAGTTATTGAAATTTATTCATTTTATGTATTTAGTTTAAATTGTATGGAATTTGTATTAAACATGTCACAACAACAATAAACAAACACCCCACCACCACCTTGGCACCTACTTATGACAGACTAATGACAAACAAACAAAAGAAAAACCAAACATGTTATAACCATACGTGTATACATATGACAGTAATATCAAACCATATTACTGTGGTGCTTAGTTGCAATGCAACGTTCCAACGTTCTGGTCTGTCTGCTTGGAGGGGAACCACCACTTCAATCTGTGAATCCAGTGTCAGTGACTTTAATGTCCAAGCGATGTTGCAAAGGCTAATCAACCAAGATGGCAACATCTAGAGCCTGGAGGAACTCAAGGCAGACCTTGTCCACCCCTGGAGTCCTGCCACTGAGGAGCTTTTTATGTATCTCAGCAACCTCAGCCCTAGTTATGGATGAACCCCAAAGTCCCTGACAGCATCACTGGTTGAGGTCAACAGCGCTCACCTTTACTATATATCACAGGTGTCAAACCCACTTGCAAAGGGGCCAAAATTAAAACCTTTCTCAAACTAAGGGTCGGTTTCAGAAAGTACATAAACTCAAATCAGATACCCAGCATCTTTTCTTGGTTGCAGGTTCCTCAACAAGAGTCTGATTGGTCTCCTTTGATGTTCTCTGTTGCACTTTCAACATCATAATCGAAGATTACTGAAAAAAATCAAGTGATGAAAGTATTTTTTGTTTAACATATCATCTTGGGGGCCAGATAAGATGTCCACAAGGGCCACATTTGAACTATTACCATTTTTGTGATTTCTGATCTTAGTTGGCCTCGGATGCCATCTTGAATTGGGATGATTTCAAAAGTGAACCAGTTACAGATTTTCAATCTTTTTTTTTTCCCAGAACGTTGTTTTTTAAATGTATTTATCCAGTTGTTTGTGTGATATTGTGCTAACAGACACATGCACACGCCTGCCTTTGTCTTTTGGCAGCTTGTATTAATACAAAGATAAGTCTATACCTTTTACTTCTCAGACTTGCTGTGTATTCATTGTTTGATATTTGGTTCTATTTTCAGAGTGCTGTGTGGCCATAGTAACTGTATACTGGAGTCACGTATCATGTTTTGAACTGTACTGTGCGGTACTCCATAGTTCCTGTTCTTAGTACTTTTGTAATGTTTCTGTTGCAGAGAAGTACCATGCTGACCAGCATTACTGACGGGATCCTGTGCTGTCTGACGGGGAAGACTGCCAGTCTTGTCTTGCCTCTGGAGTTGTCCGAAGCCTCCGATGGGTTTGAGTTTGTGGAGGTGAAACCCGGGAGGGTCTTGCGAGTGCGGCATATTGTTCCTGAGCATCAGCCTCCCGACACAGATGCAGGCCTGGTGAAGACGGATGCTGGCTGTGATGACGAGAACTCTGACAGTGACAGTGCTGGCACCAGCGTCCACTGCAAAAGGAAGATCACAGTTTACCGCAACGGCCAGCTGGTGATCGAGAACCTTGGCGACGTTTTGCACTCTGAAATCTTGCAGTGCCAGGATGGGGATTTGGAGCCCTGTAGCACCGTGGAGGTGGAGCTGGCCGACTACAAAGAGCTGCCCTCGTCTCCAGACCCAAACCCTGCTCCACCTCCAGGCTTGTTATCCTCTGAAGAGCAGAAACCTGCTCCACCCCCTCGCCGCCGCCGTCGCAAGCCTAAGCGCACAGTGCTCATTGACTCGAAGCGGGTTATCTCGAGCTGCAAAGGAACGCATTCGGATGTGGCCCTGTTCTTTATTCATGGCGTAGGAGGCTCTCTGGACATTTGGAGCAGTCAGCTGGACTTCTTCTCCCGTCTGGGCTATGAGGTCATAGCGCCGGACTTGGCGGGACACGGAGCCAGCACTGCTCCGCAGATCGCAGCAGCTTACACGTTCTATGCTCTGGCAGAAGACCTGCGGGCCATCTTTAAGAGATACGCGCGGAAACGCAACATTCTCATTGGCCACTCGTACGGGTGAGGAGCTTTCAGGAGCTTTGATCAGAAATTATGTGGTTTGGAAAAATGTTGTCGGACAGTGCCAGACATACTTTTGAGAACGCTGAGTCAGCTTTTCCTGTTTTTATTTACATGCAGTTGTAGAAAATCTACTTCTGCATTATATATTTTTTGTCATTTCTAGGATATGGATGCTCTGACTTCTGTTTTTATTGTTTTTGTTTTATATTTGTTAAAATAGTAAACTTGATTTAGAAATGTGTTCCTCATAAAAACACATTAAGATCTATTGAAGTCCTTCAAAACTTTGAAGTTTGCTTCAGCATACTTGGTCTGCAGTTGTCTTCCTATGCTACCTTTAGCTTTAAGCTAGTATTCTGTTACTTTTAGATCATAGCTAGCTTTTATTACATTTTAATTCCAGCAAGTGTTTTGCTTCCTTTTACCACGTTGCGTTGAGCAAGCCTTTTCTTGTAGCTTTCAGGTACCATTCTCACACCTACCAGAGCACTACTTTTAGCTTTTAACTAGCCTTTAGTCACTTTTAGCATATAGCTAGTTAGTTTAAGTACAAGTGTTATGTGTTCATTGTATGTTCTCATACAATGACAAAATTAGTTCTCTGTATTCCATCGCACCTGGGATACACCCAGGTGGAGCAGTGGGCAGCTACTGAGTGTTCAGGGAGCAGTAGGGATGGGATGTCTTGCTCAGAGACACCACGGCAGAGTGGCTGGGAGTTGAGCCGTGACTTTCTGGTCCCATCTCGGCTCCTAGTTTAGTTGGTCTTTTAGTTATTACAACTTTTGGACAGCTTTTTGCTACTTTAGCTTCTAGCATATTTATACTTTTAGGTTTTCGTTAGTCTATTGATATTTTTAGCTTTTAGCCGGCCTTTTGCTACTTTAGCTTCTAGAAATTTGATACACTTAGCTAACCATTTTGCTACTTTTAGCTACCCTTTTGTGCCTTTTATTAGCTGCTTACTACTTGTAGTTAAATGTTTAGCTCACATTTAACTTTTTAGCTACTAGCTATCCTAAGCTACTTGAGCTTTTAGATTGCCATTTGATATCTTTGGCTATAATTTTACTATTTTAACTGGCCTTTTGCTTCCTTTAAGTTAACTAGCTATCCTTTTGCTACATTAGGCTTTGATTAGGCCTCTTACTACTTTTAGCTTTTAGCTAGTGATTTTATTTATTTTTCAGTTAGCATTTTGATACTTCTGGCTGTTATCAAGTGTTTAGCTCCTAATAGTGTTTAGCTTTTCTTTTTTTTTTACCAACTCAGTTACAGTTTTGTCTGCAAAGTCATTGAGCTTTTAGCATCGATGCTACATTTTCACAGGCAGAATTTCTCTCATCAAAGCTGCTTTTGATTTGTGACGAACACGTCGTTAGCGTGACGCTATCATCCCACCGTCTCTTACAGAGTGTCATTTTGCACCTTCCTGGCCCATGAATATCCTGATCTAGTCCACAAGGTGGTGATGATCAATGGAGGGGGTCCCACAGCTCTGGAGCCCAGCCTCTGCTCCATCTTCCAGCTTCCATCTTGTGTCCTCCACTGTCTGTCACCTTGTCTGGCCTGGAGCTTCCTGAAGTAAGAGCTGCTTTTGATGCTGTGAATGATTTCAAATGTCAGAGAGGAAAGAAAACAAACCACTTCTACAAAATATGAACTTCACCTTTAATTTTTTTGTGTTTGTGGTTTTTTAACCCCGTAGAGCTGGGTTTGCTCGTCAAGGTGCCAAAGAGAAGCAGCTGTTGAAGCAGGGTAACGCTTTCAACGTGTCTCCATTTGTCCTGAGAGCCATGATGAGTGGTCAGTACTGGCCTGAGGGAGATGAGGTCTACCATGCTGAACTCACCGTGCCCATCCTGTTGGTTCACGGCATGTGTGACAAGTTTGTGCCGGTGGAGGAGGACCAGCGCATGGCAGAGGTAAAATAAAAATCTGCATCCAAACATTGAGCTTTTAAAATGTATGCACACTCTATTTACACATTTTAGAGTCAGTTTCTTTATTGTCATACGCACCCCATGTGGTACATGTGGTGGAATGAAATTATGTACACAAGGTCCCAGTTACATCCAACAATAAAATGTAAAAGAAAAACAATGATAACATCTAAGATATTAACTAAGAAAAGCATCAACTAAATATACACTAAGCACTAATAGCATTAAAACATTATGTTGAACAGCAGCATGAACATGTGAGCAGATGAGCACGAATGAACACAGCAACATGAAACAGATCAGCAGCAACATGAAACAGATCAGCAGCAACATGAAACAGATCAGCAGCAACATGAAACAGATCAGCAGCCACATGAAACAGATCAGCAGGAACATGAAACAGATCAGCAGCAACATGAAACAGATCAGCATGGTGGGATTTTTTCACACTGATTATTCTGGTTAGATTCATGAGACTTAACAGCTTCAGGGTAGAAGCTGTTCCTCAGTCTAGTGGTTCTACACTTAATGCTCCTTAACCTCCTTCCTGAGGGGAGTGGGAAAAAAAGTGTGTATGCTGGGTGAGTGGGGCCCTTCATGATGCGGGTGGCCCTCTTCCTGAAACTGTAGGTGTAGATGTCTGTGATGGTGGGGAGACTGACTCCAACATCTTCTGTGCAGCCTTCACCACTCTCTGCAAAGCTTTTCTTTCTGCAGCTGTGCAGCCTCCATGCCACACGTTGATGCTGGAGCACAGGATGCTCTCCACTGCACACAGGGCCAGATTAACACTTCGCTGTACCCTGGGCAACAATCTTCAAGGGCCCCATCATCACGACCCCAGAATCACCATAATCTGGCAAAATACAGAATAAATTACCATAATATACAGTAAATATACTTAAAATTCTAATTGTTAAGTGTATTTTTATGTAAAAAACTCCAAATGCTCATTGACACAAATCAAGACTGAATTAAGTTGAACGCACTTTGAACACCACATGACACCACATGTGTACTTGTTTAGTAAAGTGTTGATCACTGGTGTTTCATAAGCATTTATAATATGTGTGGTGGGGGGACACACTGATGGGGGGTCTGGGGGTCCTCCCCCAGAAAAGTTTGAATAAAGTAGATGCCATTTCCTGCATCCTGTTGTATTTTAATGGTTGTTTAACATCTAGTTTTACCTACATAAGTAAACACTTGGAACACCTCAGGATTCCCCTGGAGGAGCTGGTCCAAGTGTCTGGGGGGAGGGAAGTCTGGACCTCCCTACTTAGGCTGGTACCCCCATGGATGGATGGAAGTAAACACTTGATTCAGTAACTATTTTAGAGTTAATGGTACAACAAGAAGTAACCTGACCAACAGCTGATTCAATAATTAAAAATATTATATATTCAAAGGTGACGATTTGATGCCCAAATTAAAATTAAATATCTGTAACTAAGTTGACTTCAAATGCAACAAGATTATCAATGAATGTTTGTGACAAAGGATTTACTGAGTTTAACAAAGATTCATTCAAGAAACCTCCCAGTATAAATCATAAAACCAGTATGACTTCTGCTCGTTCTAAATTTGTCAAATGGTCTAAATCTCCTAAAGTGAAGGAGAATCATTTAAAATAATAAATAAGATATATCCTGTAGCCATGTTTCTGCAAAGAAGATTTAAATTTGATGTTGATTTGTGTGTCTTTAGTAAATCACAAGATGAATCCCTCGAGCATTTTTTCATGTCACTACAAAGTGTTTGGTCAAACATCAGAAACTGGATTAATCTCAAACATTCATTCTTCTCATGCTGATGACATTTTACTTGATGTGGATAACTGAAGCTCAGCTTTCTCTGATGCCATAAATAAAGTCGTACTTATAACAAAGTACAACATTCACTGTAGTAAGAGGAGAGATAATAATCCCTCCTTCCTGTTTGATGAACGATTTTAAGTCATAATATTCTTCATTAAGTAGAATTCAAAAAGCGTTCAATACAAAAACAACTGGACTTTATTTGTAACAGAAGACGTAGATTAAGTAGATTAAAAATCTGTGAAACTGCTAAAATCATCTCACAACAGATAAAACTTATTGTTTTAATTAAAACGATGTTTCTCAAGAAAAAAAAACTGATGTTCTTGTCAACAGGTAAGGGGCGTTTACCTTGGGGACAAATTGAGGTCGTCGATTGGTCAGTTACTGACACGCCTTCTGAGTTGATTGACAGTTCGCACTGTCGAAGATCCGATTAAAAAAAAACAAAAAACCGAGAGCTGCAGCAGCTGGGAGGAGGCAGGGCTGCACAAATGCAGCGGAAGCGCAGCAGTTTCTCTGTGCAGCGCAGAGCTCCAAGTAAAGCAGGAGACAACCAGATATTTAGCTTGTGCCCTCACTGCCCTGGGCCCCAGAGATCCAGGGCCCCTGGGTAGTTGCCCATATGGTTAATCCGGCCTTGACTGCACACCTGTAGAAGGAGGTGAGGACTGAGCTTCCCAGACCAGCTCATCTCAGCCACCTGAGGAAGTAGAGTCTCTGATGAGCTTTCTTACAGCTGAGGTTGTCATTCAGGTGCACACACAAGTACTTGTAGCTGTAACCACTTCCACAGCAGATCCTCCTATGTTGGTGGGGGGGTGGGGTGGGGGTCGGGGGCAGGTTTGTTTGTTCCATCTGAAGTCCACAACCATCTCCTTTGTCTTCTTCACATTGATGTGAAGGTTGTTCTTCCTGCACCAGCTCTCCGGGTGTTACACCTCCTGCTTGTAGCTGGACTCATCGTTGTTTGTGATGCATCCCACCACCTGCAAACTTTACAATGTGACAGCCTGGATGGGTAGCTGCACAATCATACGTGAGCAGCGTGAACAGGAGAGGACTCAGCACACATCCCTGAGGTGAGCCAGTGCTGAGGGTTATGGTGGAGGATAACTGTTAGTTGTGCTCCACAAATCTGGCCTTTATGGAAGAGTGACAAGAAGTTGTTGGAAGAAAACCAGAAGAAGTCCTGTCTGCAGTTTGACTCGCAGCTAACACGCAGAAGAAGGAGCTCTGCTCAGACCAGAGCCGAAGTTTGTGACCTCAGTGTAAAACCCTGTGAGGAATAAATGATGCTTCAGCAGGGACAGGGAATCTGGTCAGAGATGACGGGAAGATGAATGGAGTTAAATTCAGGACAATCCTGAAAGAAAAGCAGAAGACTTCAGACTGAGGGGAGGGTCACCTCCCTATGGGAAGTTTTAGTTGACAAACCCTGAAAGAGTTCAAGTAGGTTTATTGTCATTCACACCACATGTGGTACATGAGGTGGAATGAAATTATGTACACAGGGTCCCAGTCACACCCAAAAATAGCTAAATATAAAGTGTAAAAAGAAACAGTAAATAAGGATCTAAGATATATGCTAAATATATAAACGCTAAACAAACACCAAACGGTACGCTGAAAGATCAAAGATATACACTAAACACTAATAATGTAAAACAATATGGTGTAACAACAGCAGCACGAACATGAGTCTGTGGTGAGTAGATGGGTACGAATGAGCTTACAGCTGAAGATGGTTCTACAAAGTGTTGACTCAGTGAGGCTGAATGCAAATACTCACCACCACTTTTTTCCAACCTTTCCAACTATCCATCCATCCATTATCTTTACCCGTTTATTCCATTTTGGGTCATGGGGGTCGCTGGTGCCCATGTCCAGCAATCACTGTGCAAGGGGCGGGGTACACCCTGGACGGGTCGCAAGTCCATCACAGGGCCACATAGAGACAAACGAGACAAAAAACCATTCACTCGGTCACTCCAGGGGCCTATATATATATATATATATATATATATTATATATTATATATATATATATATATATATTATTATTATTATTTTTTTTTTAAACCATTTGTCATGTTTTTCACTTCCCAGTATGTACTGCTTTGTGTTGTACTTTGTGTAAAGTCCCAGTCAAACACAAAACTTACAAACTGTGGAGAAGTTGTTTTCATGGCGCTGTAGCAAAACGCTTGTCAGCTCTGTGACACTTTCAGACCTAAACGTTGGCATTTGTTTTGTGTTTCCAGATCCTCTTGTTTGCCTTTCTGAAGGTCATTGAGGAAGGAAGTCACATGGTCATGATGGAGTGTCCCGACACCGTCAACACCCTCCTCCACGAGTTCTTTCTCTGGGAACCAGACATGTCGAGAAAAGACAGTCGCAGGGCAGACCCAGATAAAGCTGCCTGTGACACAGTCGGCACACAGAAACTCAACAAGCCTCTGGACAAACACTAGAGCTGAAGAACCAAGCAGAGGGTTTGTTTCCTGCAGCTGGCACGTGTTTTTAAAGCTCCCAGGCTGAGAGAGATTACAAGCAGGGCTGCATCTTCAGGATGTGCACGTCCACTGGCGCTTCGAGATAAAGCACCAAATATCGTACAATGAAAAGGAACGGGTGCAAACACAAGTTCTTTTCCACTTCTGCACCAGTTTGTGCTTCGTTGCACCGAAATGACTCCATACCTGGTGCCTGAGAGGACCGCCTTTGGGACGCTTGCGAGGAGAAGCTGCAAAATGTGAACGACAACATTTTCAAATGATGTCATTATTTCCTTGTCAAGTTTATTATGGCTTTGGAAAACGTTCAGCTTCCGGTTGAATCAGTTTTAGCTCTGCTTTTAGTGGAAACCTGGTGACTGAAGGTGCAGAAAGCTGATTCAGAGTGGTGTTGGAGGACAACTCAGAAGTCCGTGGTATTAATGGTACATTGTGAAACACTGACTGGATGGGAGGGGGAACTGACGGAACATTTAAAAGCCAACAAAGTAATATTAATAATTATATTATTAATGATATACTAATATACATGTAATGTGTATTAAATAATTGCATCCCGTGTGAACAGAAAATATATTCTGAAAGGAAAACATTTCTCAGCTGTGATGTGTTACAGTGACCCACAAGTGTATTCATTCTGTCCAACAGGACCTTCACTCTGCGTCACTGTTAAATGATTAACAGCTGACATTACGAAAGCTAAATAAAAAGCCATGTTATAGTGCCAGCACAACGTCACTAATGGATTCATTCATCACTGCATGAAAATCATCTGATGTTCACCTCGAGATGAACGAACCAAACACAGGAACATTGGGAGCTTTGTCTCAGCTCTGGCCCCGACGTATTCCAAAGAAAGACCTAAATATTTTTCCTTAAAGGCATATTGTTCACCGTCACCGGTCATGTCCAGGTTTAAATCAAGATTACCTTGTGAGATGACGGTTTGTAAAACTTTAACAAAATGTGCTGGCTGATGTAATGCAATACTCCAACGTACAGTGTGTGTTCTGAATGACTCTCAGCTACTACCACACCACACCTTAGCTGAATCTGTAGCGCTGACTGAGTTCAGCTGTGGCAGCCATCTTTCATTGGCTCCAAACAGTAATCAAATCCAAGCAGTTAATAGCAAACAAAATCAAATAATTAAAGGTTTGGCACAATTTCTTTGTGCTCAGACTATGTTTTGGAGATCAGTCTCAGCTACTACCACACCCGATTTGAAGCCAATATTTGTGTAATTGACTGAGTTTTAGCTATTTTGGAGTTTTCAGGTCAATTGGCTGTGGCAGCCATCTTTAATTGGCTTGATGATTTTTTTGTTTTTTGCAAGTTTCATTAAAATTTGTCCAGTGGTTCATGAAATATTTTGCTAACAGATACACAAACATCAATCTCCTGTCGGTGGTGGACGATAAAAAGCTCCTGTGGGAGCTCAGACTCAAAGATGGGATTGTTGCAGCACAGCTCTCTAACGTGTTGTTCCTACAACATACGTCCATCCTTCGTGTTTGTTATTGTAGATCTAAACTAACAACTTCCTGAACAAACTGTCATGTGACGGGTTTCTACTGCTGGATGCTGAAAAAGCTGTGAGCGTTTCCTCTACTTGTTCAGTCCACCCCGAGTGTGGATTTCTATCAGAGTTTTGCTCCTTGTCCTTGTCTCATAGTGGGACAGTACGTGTACTGGTCTCATAGTGGGACAGTACAATGGGAGTGAACGTGTACTGGTCTCATAGTGGGACAGTACAATGGGAGTGAACGTGTACTGGAACAGAGGCATTCTTTAAAGGAATGCATTTCACCCACCGCCTTAAAGAGTTTTAGACAAGAGAAGGAACACAGTTGTAGCTGCTTTAGTCCAACTTTGTATATTATGCAAGATTATAGAAGATCTGTTGGTATGCTGGCCCTTAGATTATGTGATGTATATGACTCTCAGCTACTACAACGTTGGATTTTAGCTCAGTATCCAGAAAGTTGACGGAGTTATTGCCATTTATGTGTCGAATATTGTTGATGACCATGTTGCAATTGGATGAACATCCAGTGATTACTTTCTGAGTGTTTCCCTGACAGTGTTTGCTGTGTGGATGGCTCTTGGCGTTGTGTGTCAGCAGGTGTAAATAGTCGGGTGATAAACCGGCTGCCTTTGGGCTTTAACGAAATCAACCAGCTCGCCAAAGGAGGAGGAGAGTTTAGCACTCAACATGTTGGGCTGTTAAATGTGCGTTTTGAGAGAAAAAGCAGATGCAACATGACTTGTTTTATGCAACCAAAACTAAAGTAGTGTGGAAATGAACAAATGTGGAACTGATGTCTCTAAAACAGACACTTTTATGGACTCTCTGAAAACCGCCGTGTGCTGCTGATATCTCCTTCAGTGTTAGAGGCTGATAAAGCTGTGTGGACGACAGGGTGCACATGTCCTTCCTCGTATGCTCAAACTGTTACGCGCTAACTCTTTTGTGTGCTAAAACTGTGTAAACGTTACTGTTACATTTATTAATGGGAATGGTGCGGTATATGCACTGCCTGTGTTGATGCGTACGTTATTATATAGCCTAAACACTCGGATTCAGTGTAACAATGTGCCTTTCCTGGTACAAAATAAAACTGATGTTCACCTTCAAATTGTGTTTTTGTGTGTTTTTTATTATTGAAGTTCTGTGTCTGCCATGGTGACCATGTGTCCTCCTCTGCAACTCTTTTGTGTGGGGTTCCACAGAGCTCAGTTTTAGGCCCCCTCCTCTTCACGCTGTACCTGCTCCGTCTTGGCTCCATTTTTTTTTAGAAAATATAGGATCTCCTTTCATTGTGACTCGGATGATACACAGATATATGTCTTGCTAAATAAAAAGGACTCCAACTCTCTGTTTTCATGTCTGGAGGACATCAAAACCTGGATGGCTGTGAACTTCCATCCATCCATTATCTTTACCCGTTTATTCCATTTTGGGTCACGGGGGTCGCTGGTGCCCATGTCCAGCAATCACTGTGCGAGGGGCGGGGTACACCCTGGACAGGTCGCAAGTCCATCACAGGGCCACATAGAGACAAACGAAACAAACAACCATTCACTCTCTCACTCACACCTAGGGACAATTTAGAGTTACCAATCAGCCTAACATGCATGTTTTTGGTCTGTGGGAGGAAACCGGAGTACCCGGAGAAAACCCACGCATGCACGGAGAGAACATGCAAACTCCACCCAGAAGGCCCCTGGACCGGGGTTTGAACCAGGGACCTGTTCGCTGAGAGGCAGCAGCTCTACCAGTTGCGCCACCGTGCTGCCCCGGCTGTGAACTTCTTAAAGTTAATTGAAGGAGAAACAGAGGTGATGGGTCTTTGGACTTTGGCCCAGTACATCAGCCCAACAATTACAAACCCAGGAGTCAAAGTTGATGCTGGACTAAAGTTAAAAAATAATCACATCAGAGCAGGTGTTAAATCTAATGTTTTCCATCTGAGGCCAATTATCAAAGCCAATTATTTCTCAGCATTTGGAGTAACAGTAATCCACGCTTTTGTGACCACTCGGCTGGACTACTGTAACGTACTCTACACAGGAATCAGTGACTCGTGTATCTGTCAGCTTCAGAGGGTACAGAATGCTGCTGCACGGCTTTTAACTGGTACACAAAAGTTTGACCACATTTAGCCACCCTGCACTGGCTGCTCGTACATTGTAGGATTCATTTTAAAATTATTTTATTTGCTTTTAAAGCTCTAAATGGACTTGCCCCACCCTAACTATCTGAGTTGCTACATCCGTACACACCCTCTCGATCCCTCAGGTCATGTGATCAGCTGCTCCTGAGTGTGCCGAAGACAAAGCGTAAGCTCAGAGGAGACCGAATTAGCATATCATGAAAAGGTTCTCTAAACAAGCTATTAACCTAACCATCTGAATCAACGACGTAACTCTAAACACCTGCAAAAGATTCCTGAGGCTTTTAAAAACTCCCAGCCTTGTTCATTACTCAAAACCGCAATCATGGGTAAGACTGCCGACCTGACTGCTGTCCAGAAGGCCATCATTGACACCCTCAAGCAAGAGGGTAAGACACAGAAAGAATTTGCTGAACGAATAGGCTGTTCCCAGAGTGCTGTATCAAGGCACCTCAGTGGGAAGTCTGTGGGAAGGGAAAAGTGTGGCAGAAAACGCTGCACAACGAGAAGAGGTGACCGGACCCTGAGGAGGATTGTGGAGAAGGGCCAATTCCAGACCTTGGGGGACCCGCGGAAGCAGTGGACTGAGTCTGGAGTAGAAACATCCAGAGCCACCGTGCACAGGCGTGTGCAGGAAATGGGCTACAGGTGCCACATTCCCCAGGTCAAGCCACTTTTGAACCAGAAACAGCGGCAGAAGCACCTGACCTGGTCTACAGAGAAGCAGCACTGGACTGTTGCTCAGTGGTCCAAAGTACTTTTTTCAGATGAAAGCAAATTTTGCATGTCATTCGGAAATCAAGGTGCCAGAGTCTGGAGGAAGACTGGGGAGAAGGAAATGCCGAAATGCCAGAAGTCCAGTGTGAAGCACCCACAGTCAGTGATGGTCTGGGGTGCCGTGTCATCTGCTGGTGTTGGTCCACTGTGTTTTATCAAGGGCAGGGTCAATGCAGCTAGCTATCAGGAGATTTTGGAGCACTTCATGCTTCCATCTGCTGAAAAGCTTTATGGAGATGAAGATTTCATTTTTCAGCACGACCTGGCACCTGCTCACAGTGCCAAAACCACTGGTAAATGGTTTACTGACCATGGTATTACTGTGCTCAATTGGCCTGCCAACTCTCCTGACCTGAACCCCATAGAGAACCTGTGGGATATTGTGAAGAGAAAGTTGAGAGATGCAAGACCCAACACTCTGGATGAGCTTAAGGCTGCTATCGAAGCATCCTGGGCCTCCATAACACCTCAGCAGTGCCACAGGCTGATTGCCTCCATGCCACGCAGCATTGAAGCAGTCATTCATGCAAAAGGATTCCCGACCAAGTATTGAGTGCATAACTGAACATGATTATTTGAAGGTTGGCGTTTTTTGTATTAAAAACACTTGTCTTTCATTGGTGGGATGAAATATGCTAATTTTTTGGGACAGGCATTTTGGGTTTTCATGAGCTGTATGCCATAATCATCAGTATTAAAACAATTAAAGACATGAAATATTTCAGTTGGTGTGCAATGAATCTGAAATATATGAAAGTTTCATTTTTATCATTACATTATGGAAAATAATGACCTTTATCACAATATGCTAATTTTTTTGAGAAGGACCTATAGAGGACGACGATAACTAGACTAACGGTGGCAACAACCAGAGTGTCCAACAGATGGCGCCATAGTAAAACATAAAGTAACAGGCGATTTTTTTTTTTTTAATCGTTTGTCCTATTTATTTAATTAATTTTAACAACTGAAAAGTCGGGGTTTAACCTAAAGGAAATATGAATTAAATACCATCATGTCATTCATTAGGCACATTTGTGCACAACACATCTGGATGGGAATGATTTACGACACCTAGAGTTCGAGCAAAACTGCGCATGCGCACTTGCAGCCTGACGCTCGTTTGCTAAAATCATGGATAAACTGCGCCTTAAAATAAAACCCAATTAACGCGAAAATACTGCGTAAAGTGCGTGTTTTTACACGTTGTTAACACAGTTTTCGTGTGAACTTCTTACGCGCAAACAATACATACTTTACGCATTGTTTGCGCGTCAGACTCACGTGAAATATTCACGAGTATTTGACCCGGATGGCTTGCCGTGAGCCGCCATGAGGCGCGTGTGTTTAACTGTTACCATGGTAACGGAACTGCGACGTCCCCTAGGAACGGATGTGTTTTAACAGTTTACAGCTGAAGTTACAAAATAATAATATAACATAAACTAAAGAAGAAGAGCCGGAAGTTGTGAGGAAAATGATGAAGATGATGGTCGGTGAGAAGAGAAGATGCAGAGAGTTTAATGGACCGACGCCTCATTCAGTGGCTGTGGTGAGAAAACAAAGTACTGTAGTATAAATACTGTGGAGGTAAAGTTCTGAGGTAAAGAGAAAAGCACGGAGTTCTATAGTACAAATACTGCGGAGGCAAAGTACTCGGGTAAAGAATGAACTGTAGTATAAAAACTGTAGAGGAAAAGTACTCTGGTAAAGAGCAAAACATAGAGTACTATAGCACAAATACTCTGGAGGATAAGTACTTGGGTACAGAGGAAAACACTGAGTACTATAGTACAAATACTGTGGAGGAAAAGTACTCAACACAAAGTACTATAGTACTGGATGGATGGATGGAAAAGTGTTCTTGTACAGAGTAAAACACAAAGTACAGGCTAGTACAAATGCAGTGGAGGAAAAGTACTCAGGTACAGAGTAAAACACAAAGTACTATAGTACAAATACTGTGGAGGAAATGTTATCAGGTAAAGAGTAAAACACAAAGAACTATAGTACAAATACTGTGGAGTGTAGTAGAAATACTACCGTGTACTCAAGTAACGAGGAAAGCTGTGTCATCTGTGAGTTTCAGCAGAATTTAAACAAAGTATTTGAATGTAAAGAGGGTCATAGTTTCATTAGTAAATCATGAGTTGCAGCTGATGGGGTCATCAGTTCTTCAGATCTCCAGGAGTTGATCTTTGCCGTGTTTTATTTGTAATAAACTGATGTTTTCTCATGTTTTAGTTCACGGTCAGCAGAATAACTCCCAGAATTCAGGCTCAGATTTATCTTCATCTGTGATACACAAAAGAAAGTTTGTGCAGTGGGTTGATTCTCCACATTTAACTCAGTCAGAGTCAGAGTCAGAGTCAGAGTTTCTTTATTGTCATTCGCACCTCATGTGGTACATGTGGTGGAGCGAAATTATGTACACAGGGTCCCAGTTGCATCCAACAATAAAATGTATAAGAAAAACAGTAATAACATCTAAGATATGAACTAAGAAAAACATCAACTAAATATACACTAAGCACTCATAACATAAAACATTGAACATCAGCACAAACATGAACATGAGTCTGTGAGCAGATGTGCACGCATGAACACATCAACATTGAAACAGATCAGCAGCAACATGAAACAGATCAGCAGCAACATGATATGGTTTTTCACAGTGATTATTCTAGTTATGTCATAGCTCTGCTCTCTGTCAGCTCCTCTGTCATGCTGCACACTC